GGCACATTTTCCTCGATCGGACACGCGCGAAACGCAGTTGTTTTTGTATATAAGAGAGGAGAAGGAAGAACAAAACAAGAACACGTTAGCTGGCTAAGTATCGCAACTAATCCCGCTCCTCGATATGCCTGCGCGCGGGACGCGCCATCCTCGAGCAGGCACGTAAGAAGTCAACTGTTCCACATTGTTACACGATGTTAGGATCTCCATACCTTGTGTATCATCGTGGATTCTGCGCAAAACGCTCAACACCCCGATTTTGACTTGGGAAAACGCGTGTCTGCAGACCCCTTTATTTATCGATGATCCGAGATAAGGGGGCACAGTTTCCTCGAGCGGGCACGCGCAAATTCTTGTCCAACTAAAAACCCTACCTCGCTATTTATCACAAATAAGTCAGCCGGCCCTCTCAAAGAGAACCCTGGGCCCGCGCCCTTTCCGGGAAAAAGGCGTCAAGGATGGGCACGGCTGGTTGACAAAGTGCCAGGGTTGGCAGAAGTCATCGGTCGGCGTCAAGGAAGCAAAACTGCCAAGGCCACTCTGGATGGCATAAGAATCGCCTCTCCATTGGGTTCGGGGGGGGGATGGGCGCGCGCCGTCGGGGGAGGGGGGGGGATGGCAGTTTTGAAGTTCAAGCTTTGGACGCGCGTTGAGGGGCGGTGGGGGGAAAACGGGGACGCTCCGTCGGAAGGTCAGTCGCCCCTCGAATCATTACGCCAGCAAACAATCCCATCCGCGCGCCTGTACGTGACAGCACGCTTGATGTCCTGCTTCGTCTTCTTCCCGCCCAGGGCGTCCTGATTTTACCCGTTCCAACCCTGGCCCTGCGGCGGTACCTCCGTTCGCTCTTCGCCTTCTTTTCCCTACTCTTCATCCTCGCCCTCGTCCTCTCATTTTCTCTGATTCCTGCATCTTTTCCAAATCGTTTTTCTCCTCCTCGTTCGCTCGTTCCTGCTTATAGTTGCGATCATCTTGTTCGCCATTTCCCTTTTGACTGCTGCCCGGCGCTGTCTTGTCTTTGATGTGATCCTTCTAGCCCTGCGACCGCTCCATCCGCTGCTACACCGAATGCGAGGGCGGGCGGGAAGGTCCAGCGAAGGTCGCCTTGTCACCACAAGCCCAGCACAACCCCACACTTCCTCATCCTCTCCCACCTGCTCTCCTCAGGGGGAACGATAGGGGGACCAGCTCAGTGGTGTAACATCGACCTGGAACCTAAAATCGGCGACGCTCGCCGATAGATAGGCGATAGGCCACGGATAGCGAATCCGCACGTTCCTCGACGGGCGGGGCCTATCAG